CAAATATATGAGGTCATGCTTTTAAAAACTGGCCAGAGATGCCAAAAATTACTGAAGGCTATAAAAAGTGGACACTTTGGAACTGCATGTGATTCAGGAGATTTTGGGATGGGTTCCCAAGGTCTGTCTTAAGCAGAATATTTGGACAAATTTGGATTTGATTTGTGAAAAATTTCCTTAACATACTATACAGTTATGTACAGTATAGGGTGGGGCGAATGTAGGTTTACAGTCATTCATCTAGAAAGCAATACAATAATTAATAAATAATAATACAAGAATAAACTCTGTGTTTTTTGTATTCACAATTGTAAACCTACTTTTGTCCCACCTGTATTTATTATGTAATAGTAAAAATTGCTTGAACACCCGTTAAATATGAGCAAGACATTCTAACCACCACCTTTCTCTTCATGTAGCTAAACTTTTCATTTCTACTGCAATGTACTAGTTCTTTTAAGTGATATAAATTAGCACTATCTTTTGGATTTGAACTGAAGCAATATGATGAAGTTTACCATGAAATATGGGACCAGGTAGTAGTTTCCCAAAGCAAGTTTTTTTCATTAAGGTCACTTAATCTCTGGGCTAGAAGTCACTTGACACTTTAAAGATCATCTAGTCCAAAATTCTTTAACTTTGCCTTACAGACATTGCCAAACCCACATCCTCATTCTACTTAAGGCTAATCATTGCATCTTTAGAAAACTCTGGCTGCTAGGAACTATCTCCTTATAGCTTTCACCCACTTATACTGGCCGGTTTCATTGGAGCCATAGAGAAGTAACTTATCTCCTTTCCATATAACCAGCCTTTAAATATTTAAAGACAATATGATCTTATTTACATAAAGTGGAATCTTTCATCAGTGTAGCCCAGGGCTCAATCCAAGAGGCAGAACAGATGCGGAAGAAAACAAAGGGAATTGCCATAAATCAGAACAAGATTTGCTAATTCTATCGGCCAGGTGTAGCTCTCCCCACCCTCTCCCCGTTCTGTGCAGCCCCTATTGTCAGTCAGCCTAGTGCAGATGCACTCCAAATTCCATAGCCAACCCTCAGGGTACTTTGTTGTTTCTAAGGAAGAAAGTGGGCACTTGTGGATAAATAAAATATATACTTTCCTTGTAGCATTAACTAAGCAGGGCACTGATAGTTTTCATGCTTGTCAAAATAGTATGGATCAAGTGTGACAGTCATTAAATCCATCCTTTCACTCAGCTAGAACATTGACTTTCGTTATGTATCATGTTTGAAGTGCTGATGGTTATAAAATTGTATAAAAATTGTGTAAGACATGATATGCGAAGTTCAGGAAGAAAGAATAGCTTGAATTCACTTCCAGAATTCTCACTCTTA